ACACACACACACACACACCCCGGGTCACGTGTGGTCAGTGTGTGCTGCAGCCTCCGCTCACAGCTGGACTCACCATCACTGAATTCTCGTCCAGCTCGAAGGCTCCTCTGTGGCCGGGCGGAGCGATGTAGCCGTACCCGCCGAAATACGCCAGCCTGCGCGCGCACACACACACGCACACACACACACACACACACACAGAGCTGGAGAACAGGTGTGGTTGGACTCTGTGCAGACCTCTGACCCCACACACACACACACACACACCTGTTCCTGTGCACCCAGCAGCCCAGTTTGTCCTTACAGGTGGGCGCCAGGCCGGTCAGATCCCTCATCCTCTGCCAGCGCAGCACCGGCGCTCTCAACGGCAGTCGGTACACCTGCGGGACACCACGGTTACACTAGTTACACTACGGTGAACCGCAGCCACCAATCACCCCGCAGCCACCTCGCAGTTACCCCTTAGTCACCCTGTAGCCACTAGTCACCCCACAGTCCTCCAGCAGCTGAAGCCTCACCTGGTTGGTGTTTCCCCTGGCATGATGCCCGCCGAACACGTAGAGCACGCCGTCCACACACGCGGCGCAGCTTCCCGACATGGAGCTGGGCACCTCGCCCTCTGCCCGCCGCATGTCCCTGCACACACACACACAGACAGACTAGCGTTAGCATTAGCACTTCACTTGGGTCACATGACTGTCAGTGTTTACCATCTCCGCGTCTCCATGCTGTACACCCACACCTCCGCCTTCGGCAGGTACAGGTCAGCGGCGTCACCGTCTGCATTCTGACAAACACAGCAGCAGAGGTCAGTGTGTGTGTGTGTGTGTGTGTGTGTGATTTGCATATGTGTGTGTGTGTGTGTGTGTGTGTGATTTGCATATGTGTGTGTGTGTGTGTGTGTGTGTGTGTGTGTGAGACCTTGTATCCTCCCCATATGAACATGCAGCATTGGTCAGTGATGGCGATGTGTCCGCTGCGCTCGGCTGGACTCCCGCTGGACACACACTCCTCCTGCATCCACTGCAGCTCCCCGGCCCCCCACTGGCCCCCCCGCTCCTCTTCATCATCATCCTCCATGTTCACCAGCAGATCCTCCTCCATGCCGGACCGTCACCACCACACCAACAGGCTCATACAGCTGTTGATAACATCAGTCATGCAGTCATCACACACACACACACACACACACACACACACACACACACACACACACACACACACACACACACACAGTCATCTTCATTCCTCAGCAGTGACTGTGGATTGAGTCACAGCAGATGAAGAATAGAGAATAATGAGAATATCAGCAGGAGAGCAGCTCCGGCTCACAGACAACACACTCACTCCTGTTTAGGAGAAACACACACACACACACACACGTCAGATGTGTTTCAGCTTGTGTACGGTATGGATAAACTTGCGAGTGTGAGTGTGTGTTATTACACAGACTGTCTGCTATATGTAATCAGCTGTATCGATCAGTCCTTGATTTACTGATAATGATCTGCATTGATCAGAATGCGCGCTCCTGGTGTTTTGGCTGAGCAGCTGATGCGCGCCGCCGCTGCAGTGAATAATGACAGTACGTTACTCACGCGAATGACTGATAGTGAAGCTGTCGCTCCTGCGCGATCAATAAGGCGTCACGGACAGCAGTTCGCCATCCCCTTTCGCTTCAAAACTATTTTTAACACTTAAAGGCCTCACCGGAAATGTCTTCCGGTAAAACTACGCGCCATATTAGTGAGGTCAGTCAGTCACTGCTGTCTGCGCATGTGCGACGTACAGAAGCGCGCCTTACGTTACGGCTCGAGTGTGAAACAGCGCTTTAGCGCGGCTTTTAACTTCCAGTCGGGTTGTTTTGGTCGGGCTGTGATGGAGCTGCTGCTGTACTGATTAGACGAAGAGGAGCAGAACTTCAGGTCGGTCCAGTTTCAGTCAGCGCAAATCTAACAAACACCCAGAGTTCCGCTGAACACCACAACAACCCGCTAACGCTAGCAGAGAGAGCACATCTACTGCTGTGTGTGTGTGTGTGTGTGTGTGTGTGTGTGTGTGTGTGTGTGTGTGTGTGTGTGTGTGTGTGTGTGTGTGTGTGTGTGTGTTCAGTACTTTAGGTTCTCTGTGTGTGTTTTGTCCTGCAGGATGTCTCCACATACAGTTGAAAGCAGAAGTGTACACACACTCTAATACAGGAGCATAACCATGTTTTAATAAATGTCTGATGGTAAATCACACTAAACGTTTACTGCTTTAGGTCTGTCAGGATTCCCTAAATGATTTATATTTGCTAAATGCCAGAATAATGAGAGAATTGTTTATTAATTTCTAGACAGTCAGAATTTAACACACATTTCCTTGGTATTTTTCAGCTTTGCTTTTAAACTGTATAACTTTGGTCAGATGTTTTGGGTCTCCTTCCACAAGCTTCTCACAGCAGTTTGCAGGAGTTTTGGCTCATTCCTCCTGCAGAATTGCTGTAACTGAGTCAGATTTGTAGGCTGTCTTGCTCACACAAGCTTCTTCAACTCTGCCCACACATTCTCTATAGGATTGAGATCAGGGCTTTGTGATGGCCACTCCAAAACATTCCCTCTATTGTCCTTCAAGCACATGTGAACTCATTTGGCAGTGTGTTCAGGGTCATTGTCTGTCTGGAAGAGTCATATGTGGGCAGGTTGTAATGTCCTGGCTGATGTGTTGAGATGTTGCTTCAGTATTTCTCCATAATGTTCTGTCTTCATGATGCCATCTATGCAGTGCAGTGGACCAGTCCCTCCTGCAGCAGAACAGCCCCACAACATGATGCTGCCGCCCCCATACTGCACAGTTGGGATGGTGTTCTAGGCTTGTGCTCTTTCCTCTTTGTCCTCCAGATGTAACACTGCTCATTATGGCCAAACAGTTCAATCTCAGCTCCATCAGAGCACAGGACATGCCTCCACACATCAGTCTTTTCCAGTGTCATTCAGCTAATGGTAATCTGGCTTTGTTGTTGATTCTGGCTTGTTGGTTTTCTCATGTTGTCACACAGGGAAGCAGTGTGTTTGAGCTTTTCCTTCAATACTATTCTACAGTTGTGCCTCACATTAACTCAAATGTTGTCAATCAGCCAATCAGAAACCTCCAAAACCCTGACATCATCATCTGAGCTTTACAGAGGCAGAATAATCTCACTGTGTGTAAACTTGACTTTAACATGACATTAACATCTGACTTTATTAATGCTGATGCGCCTTTATACAGTGTCGGTACACACATACAGTGTGTGTGTGTGTGTGCAGGATGAAGCTGCAGTGTGATGTGGAGGTCATAAACCGGATGTTGCCGTCCTGCGGGCTGAAGAGTAAAGGTCGTTCCAGCCGTGCGGTGCTGTCCATCGGGAGACCCGAGAGGGAGAGAGCCGCTCCCAGCACCGGGAGTAACGGCAGCACCAGTACCGGGAGCAGCGGGAGCGGACTACACCTCCTCATCTGCACCAGCAGAGACCGCAGCGGCGCCAAATACAAGGCAATACCAGCTGTGTGTGTGTGTGTGTGTGTGTGTGTGGGTGTGCGTGTGTGTGTGTGCGTGTGTGTGTGTGCGTGCGTGTGTGTGTGTGCGTGTTTGTGTGTGTGTGTGCGTGTGTGTCCTTCACCTGTGGTCCAGCACGGTACGGGCCGCCAGCTCCTGCAGGGTCAGTGGCAGTGTGATGAGCATGCGCGGCTGCAGGGTGTGTGCGCGGGCGAACGGGTTCCCGAACAGGTCCAGTGTGTCCAGCCGGAGGCTCCGGAACCCGTCGGGCAGCACCGGCAGCTGGTTGTGTGCGGCGGAGAGGAAGCGTAGCGCAGAGAGCCGGCCCAGGTGGAAGGGCAGCCGCTGCAGCCGGTTGTGGTCCAGCCGCAGGGTCACCAGCTGCCGCAGCTGGCAGAAGCGGGCCGGCAGGGCGGGCAGGAGGTTGTGGCTGAGGTCCAGCAGGCGCAGCGAGGTCTGCAGGCCGGAGCAGCACAGCTCGTCCCCGAATCGCTCCAGCTGGTTATTGTGCAGCACCAGCTCCGCCAGCGCCCGCAGATCCCCCAGGCCCGCCGGCAGCGCCCGGATGCGGTTATTGCTGAGGTCGAGCCGCCGCAGCGCCCGCAGGCTCAGCACTCGCAGGTCCACACGGCTCAGCTGGCAGTACGACACCTGCAGCTGCTGCAGCGCGGGCGGGAAGCTGCGGGTCAGCGGGTAATCTCTGCGGGACAGCACCGTCAGCTTCTGCTTAGGCTTCTCCACCTCACGGGCGCGCACCGGGCACAGCGCCGACAGGGGGACACCACCCGCTGCTGCTGCGCCCCGCTGAGCCAGACGCACCGCTGACAGGAAGCTCTTCAGGCTGGTGACGTCCGCCTGCGGGAGACACCCACACACACACACACACATCAGCCGGAAGCAGAGAGAGACTCTGTGTGTGCACTTTAAGACAGATTAGTGTGTGTGTGTGTGTGTGTGTGTGTGTGTGTGTGTGTGTGTGTGTACACACGATATGCCTTGCCATTGTTCTGGAGTTTTAGTCGTATAAATTGTCAATTGTTAATACAAGCACAGTCAATTTAATGGTTTTTATATAACTGTAGTAAATATTGTTTAGATATGAGCGAACTTGTAATTGAAAGGTGTTTAGTGATGTCTATGAACTGTTGAGCCGTCGAAGACATCTATCATGTTAGATCGGGCAAAGATTTTGCTTGTAAAACAGTTAGCATCCTCAAATGGCTTTTTCCAAACTTTTTTGGAGTCAAAAAAATTAAAATATGTTTTAATTTACAGAATACAATTTATTTGGTCAGTGAAAACTTGGGAAATAATTTCTGCATTCTTGTGTCAAATAAATAAAGACAAAACGGTATCACATATAGGGTTGGACTTTAACAGGGGCGGACTGGCCATCTGGCAATTCTGGCAAATGCCAGAAGGGCCGGACCATTTTTTAAATGTGGGCCGGTCAGCTATTTTTATTATTATTTTTTTTTTTGTATTGTTT